CTCAGGCAATCCACTCACCTCAGCCTCCCAAAGGCGCAGGATTACAGGCTGAGCCACCGAGCCCAGCTAGCGATAATTTTCATAGCAATATTACTTCTGGCACAGAACCCAGTCCAGAAGCTAGGACTGCGTTCAGATGTCATGTTCCCGTATTATTTTGAAGCAAGTCCCAGGCACAGTTTCATCTATAAATGTCAGCGTGAACCTCTAATAAAGAGAAAGACTCTTTTTAAAATATACCCACAGGCCGGGCTCATACCTGCAATCCCAGTGCTTTGGGAGGCCAAGGCAGGAGGACAGCTTGAGGCCAGGAGTTTGACCCCTTCTTCTGAAAAATTAATAATAATAAAATAAAATATAGGTACAATATCTGATCCCATCTAAGAAATAACACCCGCTAGTATTACATATCCAGCTCGTGAGTGTGTTTCCAGGTGTCTCATTGGTGGCACGATGTTTTCTATCCTTAGAATTGGGTTAGAGGGAGGACCCAGACATGGTGGGTTGATTGGCCGTCAAGTCCCCTTTCCTGGACTTCTGTCTTGGCGGACCCACAGCAAGAGATGTGCCTGGTGTTCACACGGGGCTTGTCTGAGGTGGGGGACTTCCTGCTGAGGGTCTGGGAGCCGGCTGGGTCCTATCTGGCACTGACAGCCCTGAACCAGAGACCTTGGGAAAGAGGGAGCCTGTCCCATGGGTCTGGGGCTCAGGAGGGGAGCGGGCAGGGGAGGCCAGAGAGCCTTGGGGACAAAGAGATGTCTGAGTGGGCCTAGGGTGGTTGGGGCCTGCCAGGCAGCCCATGTCCTGCATGGATAACCCCACCTGTGGTGCCCACTGTACAAGGGCAGGGCCCGCTCAACCATCAGCGGGGGCTCTTTTATGCTTCCTGTCGCCCACATTTTTAGTAAGATTATTGAGTGGAAGGCTTTGTTTCTTTGTTTGTTTTGAGTTGGAGTCTCACTCGGTCACCCGGGCTAGAGTGCGGTAGCATGCTCACAGCCACCCCAGCGTCCACCTGCTGGGCTCAGGCGATCCTTCCACCTCAGCCTTCCAAGTAGCTAGACCTACAGGCATGTGCTACCCTGCCCGGCTAATTTTTTTATTTTATGGTAGAGATGAGATCTTGCCAAGTTGCCCAGGCTGTTCTCAAACCCATTGGCTCAGGCAATCCCCTCGCCTCAGCCTCCCACAGTGCTGGGTTTATAGGCTTGAACCACTGCACCCGGCCTAGGGCTTTGTTTCTTAAACAACAGAAATAGAGTTTATTTGAAGTAAGTCCCACGCTGTCTTCCACAGGGGTGGGCCAGGGTGTGTGGAGTCCTGCCCATTCCTTGGAGTTCAGGGTCCCTTCACAAGCATGGGTCTCCCAGCCAGGGCCCACAGGCTTCTTCTCTGGGTTCAAGTCCTGGCTCGTTGGCCTCATCTATGAAATGTGGGCCCTGTGACACCTACCTCGGGTCCTAGCAAGGTTGAGGGAGGTGGATGGGCATCTGAGTACAGCACCTGCTGCAGGAATGGGCTCGACACCTGCGATCGCTATCTTTTATGTGTGACGGTCCTAGCAAGGTCTGACACTGTCGGCTGCTGGCTGCAGTGTGTGGGCGGCCATGGTGGCAGGCGCAGGTGTGCAGGTGGCTGTGGTGGTGAGTGTTTGTGACCGTGGCAGTGGGCACAAGTGTGCAGGTGACCGTGGCAGTATGTGTGCGTGGCCGTGGCAGCAGGTACAGATGTGCAGGCAGCCATGGTGGCAGGTGTAGGTGTATAGGTGGCTGTGGTGGTGGGTGTGAGTGGCTGTGTCAGTGGGTGTTGTCATGGTTGTGGGCATGGGTGTGCAGGTGGCCATGGTGGTGGGTGTCCAGGTGGCTGTGGTGACGGCCTTGAGTGTGCATCACTGTGGTGGTGGGTGTGTGTGGCTGTGGTGGTAGGTATGCACGGTCGTGGTGGCAGGTGTGCAGGTGGCCATGGCGGCGGGTGTACATCACTGTGGTGGTAGGCACGGGTGTGCATGGCCATGGTGGCAGGTATGCAGGTGGCTGTGGAGGCAGGCGTGCATGGCTATGGTGGCAGGTGTGTAGGTGGTCATGGAGGCGGATATGCGTGGCCGTGGTGACGGGTGTGCATGGCCATGGTGGCAGGTATGCAAGTGGTCGTGGCAGTGGGTGTGCATGGCTGTAGTGGTGGGCATTGGTGTGCGTGGCAATGGTGGGCATGGGTTTGTGTGGCCATGGCGGTGGGTGTGTGTAGCTGTGGCGGTGGGTGTGCATGGCTATGGCGATGCATGGCCATGGTGGTGGGCGTGGCTGCCCACTGTCCTGTGCCCACAGCAATACTTCATCCTGCTGATCCTGACGGATGGTGTGGTGACCGATATGGCAGACACACGGGAGGCCATTGTGCGTGCGTCGCGCCTGCCCATGTCCATCATTATTGTGGGCGTGGGCAATGCCGACTTCACCGACATGCAAGTCCTAGATGGCGACGACGGCGTCCTGCGCTCCCCCCGCGGCGAGCCTGCACTCCGTGACATTGTGCAGTTTGTGCCCTTCCGTGAGCTTAAGAACGTGAGTGCTGGGAGCCAAGGGTGTGGCATGTCCACCTGGGGTCTGCTGGGTCCCCAGGTGTCCCCCTTGAGAGAGGGCCATCAGCCCTGAAAAACCCTGTTAGGAAAGTGTCACATCTGCACAGTAGCAGGGAGGCCATGAAGCATCCCATCACTGTCAGCCTCCTGTCAGACACACTCGGAGGTCTATAGTGAGACATGTCACACACACACACGAAGGTCTACAGAGACACATGTCATACACACACAAAGGTCTACAGTGAAGCACACATGTCTCACAGATGCACACAAACTTCCTTTTTTTTTTTTTAAGTAAGAAAGCAGAATTTATTGAGAGGACAGAAAAGCTCCCACACTGGGAGGGGATCCAAAGGGGGTGCCCCCCCTTTTTTTAGTTGGAGTCTCACTCTGTCGCCCAGATTGGAGTGCAGTGGCATTCTCACAGCCACCGCAGCCTCAACCTGCTGGGCTCAGGTGATCCTTTCACCTCAGTCTTCCAAGTAGTTGGAACCACAGGTGCAAGCCACCATGCCTGGATATATATTTTTTTAATTTATTGTAGACAGGGTCTTGCTATGTTGCTCAGGCTGGTCTCGAACCCCTAATCTCAGGCAATCCTCTCTCCTCTGCCTCCCGAAGTGCTGGGGTGACAGGCGTGAGCCACCATACCTGGCTGCACACAAACTTCTACACAGTGGGACACGCATGTCACACAGACACACATGTAGTTCTACAGTGAGACATGCATGTCCCATGAGGCTTTGTTGGGGAGGTGGGCAGAGCTGGGTGTGTCCTCTCTGGGCTTAGGGGCAGGAGTTGTTCCCCGGACAGCCTGGTGTTTATCCAAATCCTTCACAAAATCCTACCTGGCCCCCAGGCCAGCTTGTGCTGGTGTCCCCAGACAGATCCCACTGCCAGGGTGGTGTCTACTGTGTGATGGTCATGGTCTAGAGGATGGGGCTGTGACCCAGGTGGGGGACGTGGATCTCAAGGGTCCCAGAGGTCCCTGCCTCATCCCCAGGCGTCCCCTGCCGCACTGGCCAAGTGCGTGCTGGCTGAGGTGCCCAAGCAGGTGGTCGAATACTACAGCCACCGGGAGCTGCCTCCGCGTGGCCTGGGCAACCCCCAAGAAGCCGGCCTGGGCGCCACCCCATAAGGACGGAGAGGCCGGTCAGGCATGCATCTGCAGGGCCTGTCGCCAGCACCCTTGGGGGTCCTCAAGCCCACCCATCTCCCTGAGGCCTCAGACCCTTGCCAGGCCCCACCCATGGTCCCTGTGACCCTGCTGACTTGGCTTGCATCTGAAGCCCCCAAGGTGGAAGAGTCCCCCATGCCTGACCCTGCCTGAGTCGCATGGGTGTGGGGAGGGGTCCTGAGAGAGAGGAGAGGCCTGGCAGCTCACAGGACCACCCCTGGGAGAAGGGGCGAGGGCGGGGACTCCTCACTGACCCTTATGGGGAAGGGGTAGCATGGCAGCACCGTCCTGGGAAGACACCCTGTCCCCACAGTCAGGTTCATTCCTTTCCTTCCCCACCCTGCCCCCTGCTCTCTGTTGTTCTCTCAGCACCTGGGTCTGTGGGTGGGGGCTTCAGGCATAATAAAGTGTCACCTTATCCTCACAGTGTCTGTGCCTCAGTTTCCCCTTCCCACCCCCAGAGGTCAGGACTGGTTCTGGTGTGTGTGGGGGAGCTGGCCCAGTGGCTTCTCAGATGCAGGGTCCTCCCTGGACCAAATGAAGGACCCCCCTGCCTCCCTGGGATGTGAGGACCGCCCACCCGAAGGGCCTCCACTCACCCCTACAACTCCCCAGGCCTGAAATCCACACCCATGAGGGCGGTAGGCCAGGAGGATGGGGAGCTGGGAGCCCTCTGGCCAGCCATGTGGGGCCGCAGAGACCCAGATGGGGCTTCCTGGTGACTCTCACCCGGCGCTGTGCAGCTCGCGGTTGTGATGCTCTGTGGGAGTTTACAATGGAGACACCCCTGAATTATCTTGTCTGAGAAAAGCAAATCGTCCTGACCCCAAGTCCAGCCCACCCACCCTCATCCATCCCTTCACTCAGCCTATTTTTAGCCCCTGATTCATCTCTGTTAAGCAGGGATAATAGGCATTGCCATGGTAACCTGGCCACCATGCTGTCCAGAAGGGCTGAGCGGGTTTTGGGGGATGGAGGGGACTCCGGGGGGCTCCAGAGAACAGCCTTGCATGGAGGCCCTGAACCCTGGGGGGTGGGGAGTTGGGGGTTTTCAGTGTCAGCTAGGGGGAGCGTGGTGGCCATTATGTCCTGTGCCACCCACCTGTGGTTTCAGTGCCACAAAGCGTCAGACAGTTTCTGGGTTCTGCTCGGGCTCAGTCAAGGGACATCAGTCAGTGGCGCTCTCAGCAGGGGTGGCACGAGGGGTCCCTAAGAAGTTTGGAGGACGGGGGTCTATATGCAACTCGGGGGGCCGGGGCAGTAACAAGAGGCCCCAGAGAGCCCCCACTCGCCCTTGGCCGGAGGAGGGCGGCAGGGTTCTGGAGGAAGTCATGGAGGAAGCGTCCTCCCCAAGGCTGTGGCCTTAGGAGATGTGACAGCACTCAGACCCCAGACCCCTGTGAGGCAGGAAGAAGCCCTGAGCCCCCGCCCCCCCACTGCCTCCCCCCTCCCCTCTCCTGCAGCCCAGAGACACCAGAACAACACAATGGTCATTTGATTTCTCCCCTCAACCACGTGGGGGCGTGGGCGGGTCCAGGTGTTGTGGGATAGGGCCCAGGCTGGCCAACCAGACTCGGTCCTGGGCTTTACTGGTCTTGGTGTTTTTCTTGGCTAGCTGAGTGGTTGGAACGGTGGCCTCTTGGCCTCTTGATCATAGGCAGGGCCTGCCTGGGAAAGATGCGGCAGAGGCCGTGGACAGAGACCCAACAGCTGGGGATGCCCGGGTCAGGCTCCTGAGTCAAGTCTTCCCGGAGGAGGTAGCTTTCTGTCACTTACCACCCACGGATCCTGGTCCAGAAGGTAACACATACTCTCGTTTCACAGACATGATAGTCAAGGCACAGAGCAGTGAAGTGAGCTGCCAGAGGCCACACAACAGGCTGGTAGAAGGGGCAGGATCCCCTAGCCTCCTGGGCTTCCTGGCAAGCATCTCTCATTGCATCTTCTGGCTGGCGGTGTGACGTTGGCTCTGAATCCAGAGGGGTGGGAGCCTGGGATAGGCGGTGAGCCTGGTGGGTCCCGGGTCACCAGTCCCTCCGGCCTCAGGTCACAGGCAACTTGCAGCAGCGTGGGCATGACCCCGCCTGGGTGTGGGTTTCTTTTCCAGATGAGAGGAACCAGGAAGAGTGCAGCTGCCAAGACCCCCACAGGAGGGCCTCATGAGATTCACTCCCCAGGCATCACCCCAGCACATGGGGCCCCTCAAGGAGGTGGATCTGGGATTTGGGGGGAACTCACCTTGGTCAAGCTGGACTTGGGGCTCCCGCTTTTCAGAGCGCAACCTTGGACCAATCACTGCCATCTGAGTCTGAGCCTCGGGCCTCATCTGCCCAGGGGATATGGCAGCTTTAAATCACGGCCCTCATGGGCAACCCCTTCAGGTACCCTTCCACTGTGGGAGTTTTTCTGTCTTCTTACTAAATCCTGCTTTCTAAAAATAATAAAAATAAAATAATTTCTAAAAAACACGGCCCTTAAGCCCGTGGCCCCTCCCACTGGAAAGTAGTGGATGTTCCTTCTCCAATCTGGGCAGACCTGGGTCCAGAGAGACTTCAAGCCAGGTTATAAGGGTGCCATGCTCACAGAAGCTGTCCCCTGGCTCCAGGTTTCCTGCTGCTCAGAGGCCCAGCAGCCCAGGGGTGGAAGGGAGGCCCAGCAGCCCAGGGTGAAGTAGAGGCCCCACCCTGGGGTGGAGTGGGGGCCCTGGCCCAGGGAGAAGTGGAAGCCCAGCAACCCAGGGTGGAGCCAAGCTCCCAGCCAACAGCCAGCACCGCTGGCCTGGGTATGAGTACACCACCCTCAGGGGCCTCCAGCCCAGGTAGGCCCCAATGACGTCCAACATAACCTCAGGGACTCTGAACCCCACCCCTCAGCAAACCTCTCCTGGGCCCCTGACCCTCAGGTGCGTGTGAGGTCATCATGGTGCTGGTCGCTCTAAGCCCCGAGCATGTGTGCGTGCATGAGGTTTGCTATGGGGCTGGGATCACAGGTTGCCTTGTCTACCCGGTCTTGTCAGGACCAAGTGCATTGACACATGGCCCGGCATGAACCTGGTTGGGGGGATCCGCTTCGCCAGGGAGTGCTGCTCTCCCTCATGCTCAGGCCACCGGCCAAGGCCCCTTACTCTATTAAGTGTCTTCCCTTCCTTGCTGGCCATCCAGACAGAACCCTGCTGGGACAGAGGCCAAGGATGTGGACAGTCCCCGCCCGCCCTGTCCTCAGAGGCCAAGGATAAGGGTTAGTCCTGCCCACTCCGTCCTCAGAGGCCAAGGATATGGACAGTCCCTGCCTGCCACATCCTCAGAGGCCAAGGATGAGGGTCAGTCTGGTCTGTCCCATTCTCAGAGGCCACAGATGAGGGTCAGTCCTGCCCACTCTATCCTCAGAGGCCAAGGATATGGACAGTCCCTACCTGGAATGTCCTCAGAGGCCAAGGATATGGACAGTCCCTACCTGCAATGTCCTCAGAGGCCAAGGATGAGGGTCAGTCCCACCCTCATCCTCAGAGGCCAAGGACCAGGAGGACCAGTCCCCACCTGCCCCATCCTCAGAGGCCAAGGGTGAGGGTCAGTCTCACCCTCACTGTCCTCAGAAGCCAAGGATGAGGGTCAGTCCCGGCCATCCCATGCTCAGAGGCCAGGGACAAGGGTCAGTCCTGCCTGTCCTGTCCTCAGAGGCCAGGAGCGAGGGTCAGTCCCGCCCGCCTGTCCTTGCGTGGGGACTCTGGCTCAGCTGCAGCTGGAGTGGGAAGGGGGCCAGTCAGCGTCAAGGCTGTGCTTTCTCCTGCTGCCAGAGGAAGCGCAGGCAGGAAACTGTGACTAAGTGCTCATAATCGGTGCGGGGGCACCAGGGCTGTCAGACGAGAGCTGGCCAGCTCCTGGCATGGGGGAGTGCGTGGGCGACAGCTGTCTTCCTCCCTTGCCTGTCCCTTCACTGTGCCCTTCCCCAGTTGATGGGGTCCCCCTCTCCCTCCCCCCATCAGGACCTACAACAGCCCCACGATCAGGACATACACCAGCCCTCCCCTGTGGAGTGTTTCCTGTACTCCCTGAGCTTGGCTCAGACAGCACTGCGCTGCGTTCTCACAACAACCTCGTGGCTGCCTGCCCATTGGGAGCACATTTTGCAGGAGAGGGTTGGCCTCAGAGAAGTCCAGCCATCTGGCCCAGGATGCACAGCCTGGAGGGGCAGAGCAGGCCGAGAGCAGGGCCTTGTCCCTTGGTTCCCAGGACTCAATCTGGAGCCTGCAGGTCTTGGCTGTGTATACGTGCATGTATGTGTGTGCACATGTTTAGGCATGTGTGTATGTACATGTGTGCATGGATGAATGGATGCATGTGTGCGCACATGTGCATGTGTTCCTGTGTGTGAATTGTACAATGCATTCATGTTGCTGTGTGCAAGGATGCACACGTGTGCACGTGTGTATATGTGTTGCCATGCATGTGCCAGATGCACATGTGAATGTGCATTGCTATGTGTGCATTGATGCACATGTGTATATGTATTACTCTGTGGTCATGAGTGCACACATGTGCACACGTGTTCCTGTGTGTGCACCAATGCATATGTGTGCACATGTGTGTATGTATTTCTGTGTGTACAGGTGCATTTGTGTTCACGTGTTGCCATGTGTGCATGGATGCACATGTGTGTGTTACTGTGTGGATACACGAGTGTCCATGTGTGCACATGTGCATGTGTTGCTATGTTTGTGCATGGAGCACATGTGCACCTGTGTATCTGTTGTCATGTGTGCCCATGGATGTACATGCACATCGTGTGTACATATGTGTATGCATTGCCTGTGTTGTCATGGGTGTGCATGTGCATCACGTGTGCACACACCTATGTCTCCACATGTGTACATGTGTGTCACACATGAAAACATGTGTGTTACCTTGTAGTCACACATGCACATGCATGTTGTGTGTGGACACATGTATTGTTGCCATGGATGCATGTGTGTGCTGCCATATGTGTGCATCGGGGCACTGTGTGTGTGTTGCCATGTGTGCATGTATGCACATGTGTGCATGTGTTGCTGTGTGTGAGAGGGTCTTTGCCAGCCACTTTACTGCAGCCTCCACAGTTCCCATGCCCTGGAATGGGCCACACTGTGGGTTTTTCCTGCCACAGGCAGGCCGTGTTCAGACACAGATGGGAGTGTGTGACATGCAGGCTCCGGGTGACCCATGCTCCTCTGGGACGGTGTGTCATTGTCCTCGGTGCAGGAGTCATGGGGGCTGGAGGGGCTGCCTCCTCGTCCCACGGGTGAGAATGTACAGGGCTGGTCATGGGCAACCGCAGCCCCCAGAGGTCCTATTTCACAGCCACATGTGGGTCCTCGTCCAGAGGGGCTGGGGCAGCTGCTGGTGAGCTGGGTGCCTTTGCGGCAGTGCCCTGTTGGCAGCCAGCTCTGCT